ATTTTGTATCCGAAAATAAATTATGTATATTATTCATATAGATTTCGAAGAAGTTAATGCCACCTAGAAAATATGCAAAGCGCTCTATCAAAAAAAACAGATTCAAAAATTTAACATTTTTAATAATTTAGCCAATAATGTTTTTATTTTCTTGTTAGAATACACAACTATCTTGCTTCTAAAAATTTTATATTTTTATTTGGAGCTATAAACAGTTCCATAAATATTTACCTTGAGTATCGAACATACAATGTTACTCATACGCCCTGGACTATGTTTCTTTCATTTACTTCAATTTTATGATTGAAATTAAAATTGTTTAAACAAATGGAAGATGTTTTTGCTTATGCAAAATAAATTTTGAAGATATTAAATACCCCGTCCGTCACACTATTCATATCCGATTCACTACGTTTACGCAAAGATTTGAGTCACTACTATTTATAATGTTAGATACTAAAGGAAAGTTATTCTAAATCCTGATAGTCATGTCTATGATTTTTGTAAGAATTTATTTCGGAATCTATAGAATTCTGTTGAGTTATGTAATTCTCCAGCGTAACCATTGTGATCGCAACATAATTTAGTATCTGATAGACTTTATATTATTGAATGGCTTGGTGTGTTAGATACACTGCACAATCTGAGTGATAATTATTGGTTAATAGTATGGACTTATTATAGCTAAGTTTATTTTCAGTTGAGAAATGATAGTTATATTGCCGATCGGAAAACATGTATTCCATGATCGTATATTTTTCTAACTCAAACACAGAATAACTTCACCATCAAGCAAAATATTAAAATCGAAAATATTACAGCTTTTCCCAATTTGATACAAATTTAAACATTCTCCACTTGCTTGTTATGAATTACATACAATATTTTCAATAAAATAATTTTCTTGAACACAAAAGTTTTCTTTGAAATTACGAAAGCTATGTTAGATTTCTAAAATATTCATTTTAAGCCTCGTAAAAAATTCTTTGCCGAATTTCTCCTTGTAAAATTTGAATTTCTTGTTGATACATTGACCACTGTAAATATAAAAATTGTGTATATATATAGTACAACATAAAGGCATACCACTTATAAATATATATTTCCATCAATTAATTTCCTGTACAGTATTCGATGTAATGCCGCCTCGATTATTCGTAGTTGATTAATTCTTGAATATTTCTAAATATATACCTATGTAATTTGCAGACTATCGATACAAGCTTACCCCAAAATCTGCGCACATTTGTATTGAGCGATACACGTAAGGATCGTACACATGAATTTTGCATTGAATAAGTACTGGCTCGCAAGTAAAGCATAACAAAAGTCATAGTAACATGTTGGTAAAATTTTCCATGTAGTTAATATTTGGTTATTTAATTAAAAGTATTGTGTGAAAATCACATATATGTATGTATGTACATAGATATTTAATAAAAAAAAATTTCAAAAATGTTTTAAAATAAATTTGATTGTAAACTTGCAGAACCGCGTTTGTGTATTTCACGGCCGAGGATACACGATGCAAAGATTAGCGAGGCCACCGCCTTCGCCAAAGAATTTTTACGCACTCAAGCGTATGATTGAAACAGGCGAGGTCAATCTCTACTACATTTAGGCGAAGTTATGGTAAAATGCAATAATTGGTGCTTTTTGAACAAAAAGTTTTCGCAATTGTAGAGTTTAACTTTTTATTTACATCATTTTTATTTGTTGAGTATAGATTCTTGCAGAGTAGATACATATTTGGTAGTAAACTCGAATTCTGTAAGTGTTGCTTTTTGTACTCGCGGGATTTTGAGAAGTAAACCTGTAATATATTGAAGAGCATTGTAAGAAAGTTTTGATAACTAGTGGTTTAATGAAGCCCTTTTTCTTTATTAATTTTTGGTATATTGTACACAAATCAAAATAATTTTTTTACAAAAGGTTTTATGGAATATATATTATGGCCCCTGCCTAAATAACAATCTAAAACAGGTAAATAGTTACAAAAAAAGATGTTTCTGGTCATTAAATAAATTACACACAACAAAAACTTGCTACTCTTATCTTGTCTTACTTGTCTTACCAACCTTATTCTACCAATTACTCATGAACTAGTCCCCCACTCAGGGTATTCGCCAGATTTAGCCACCCAGATTGATGCAGCTACCACAGCGGATCGGCTTTTAAGCTGTCAAAGTGAGATCCTTCCTGGGATCGACCCCCTAACCTAACCTAACCTACCTACCCACGACTATTTACGTTCTCCCAGGCTCAAAAAAATGCTTGCTGGGAAATTATTTCATTCAATTAAGGAGGTCGATATGGAAAAATCTATCTATGTTGAAGACTTCGAAAATGCACTATCGAACTAGTATCGAAATTTAGAAAGATCCAATGCATTACCCAAGATAGAGAATATGTCGAAGTATGAAGTTGTATTTTCATTCAAAAAATGTTCTGTCATTGTTAAACCCCTGATTTTTCAGTCCAAATAGTATTTCTTTAATCTTAAAACTTATTCTCTCGGTCCAACTTTCGACCACATTTTCCAGTATTACCGACAATATATCCACAGTAACACAGTGACTATTTGTTTTCCAGTGTTCCATCGAAGTCGGTGCACCTCCTTAGATAATTAGATATAACTCTGTCCTCAATATGCTATTCAAATGGAGTGATCAAAATTTCACACCTGCTTCCACAGTTATCCTTCTAGGAAGTTCTAGGCCTCTAAAAAAATATCCGTTATTTGATAGTTATTCATCCGGTTTCAACAAATATATTACAAAAAGGACTTGTATTGCATTTATTTTTATTTAGTCATGACTCTGTGCAGTTTTTTTAAAATCTGAACTTTTATTTAAGAAAAACATGTAGAATAGTATTACTCAAAATATTGCCAAACTGAAGCTATAACAGTTTTTCAGCTTTCTGACCAATTGTGGATTCCATTTCAAACGAACTGTGCCGACTTGGTGACCAAAAAGTATCAAGCCAATTTTTGTTACCCTGTTCTGATGTAAAACGTATTCTTGGGAGAGGATTATGTGTCCACCGCAACAAATGAGAATCAGAATGGGCATGATCTGCGCTATAAGGTG